TTTATTGCAAGTGTATACAAATTCCCCCTGAGGAGGGATCCTCAAGTTGGGAGAGCCTCTATATAAAATGGGGAAAATCTAGTTTTCTGAGTCCCTTTGTCTACAGGTTTATAAATGCTGGAAGCTTCTTTGTCTGCTCATGACACTTTCTAATTGGACCATTCTTCATTTTATGTCTCCCGTGCTTTCTTACTTGGTTACTTTCCCTCTTTTCCCTGCATGGTATCAGTTTCAAAGTTTCAAAGCTCACCTGGTGCTCCCCTCTTCTTCTTCCCCTCAGCTTGTAACATTCTTGTAAACAATAAGGCAACTTGGAGCTATGCATTCCTCTCCCGTGGGCGCCCCTTCCCTAATATGGCTTTTTTCTGTCTCCAAAGTCCTTTCAATAAGGGCTTGAAGGAGGGGGATATAGGGAGGGAAAGGGAGATATCTGTAATAATATCAACAATAATATGTATGTTTATTATATATAAATATTTATTCAAAGAACAGTATTGACTCTCAAAAGAAGGCAATCTATCCTGCTTTTAAATACATATGTATTTAAATATATATGTATTTAAAAACAGGATACATATATATTTAAAAACAGGATAGATTGCCTTCTTTTATGAGAGTCAATACTGTTCTTTGAATAAATATTTACTAAGCATGGGCCAAATGCTGAGAAGTAAACAAAGGTGAACCTGAGAGGGAACACAGAATTGAACCAGGTAAACTGCTTGGGCTTCTACTCCTAAACACTGTGATATTCTCCAGAAAGCATTGAAATAATATACAAATGAGTGATCCTCTCCTCATATGTGAAAAGAAGGGAGAGACCCAAGCTGATCCTTGCACCAAATGCAAACATGGAAAATAATTACTGGCAGATAAAATCAGTCAATTCAGTCTGCCAGATTTCAGTAGGTGAAAAGATATGAAAGCCGTTATGGTGCTCTGTTCTCTATTGCACTGAGTATACAATCTTTCTCAGAAAATTACAAGCTCATATATATATATATATATATATATATATATATATATCCACCACATGACTCAGCAATTCCACTTCTGGGTATTTATCTGAAGAAATTCAAAACACTAATTCGAAAAGAGATATCCACCACTGTTTCATCACAGCATTATTTACAATAGCCAAGATATGGAGGCAAACTAAGTGACCATCAATAGATGAATAAATGAAGATGTGGTGAATATATACAATGGACTATTTATTACTCAGCCATTAAGAAGAATGAAATCTTGCCTTTTGTGAGGTTTGGACTCTTATTTTACAGAAGCCAGTGATACCTTGCCTATTATAAAGAGCAAGCCAAACAAAACAAGGCTGAATAAAGGGAGGAATAGTGTTCTGGGAAAAAGGGCACAGTGACACAAAGGTTAGGATGATGTTCAAGAAACTGAGAAACCAATGTATTTGGAACATAAAGTAGAAGGAACAGAGAAGTGAGATATCGGGTTTGAAGTGTAAATTGAGTGATAACTCTAAACTATTAAAACCACATCGAGGACTTCATATTTTATTTGAAGAATATTAGAGAGACATTAAAGGGATCCATGAAGTGGAATGCCAGGATCAAACGCACGCTTTAGGAAGCTCCCCTGGCTGTAATATGGGTGATAGATTTTGGAAGGTCAAGCGGTATGAGGGAGGGAGGTGTGGAGACTGTTGCAGCTGGCCTCAGGTGACAGCAATAGAGATGGAGAAGTGCCAACAGATGGGGAAGTTCAAGTTAAAGTCTTCAGGAATGAACAACATAGAATTTAGCTGCTCTAAAGAGACATAAGACACAGTAGGATTCTGTCCCTTTTACCACAGCGGACCATTCCAAAGACAGAATCAACAATATGAACTAGCATCGGCCATATTACAGGTTCTATATCCAGTAGGGTTTTTTTTAGTTTCAAATAATATAAGCTAACCCTGGCAAGTTTTAAAGGAAAATAATTCATTAAAGAATACTAGGTCACTCACAGAAATTTCCTGAAGAGCCAGAGAAGCATAATAAAGATTTCTGAGCCAGGAATCATGGTGACATCACACCATATGCTGCTTCAATTGAAATTATCACTGTCTCCCCAGCTAGCCTGAGGCCTCACAGCTACCCTCTCCCCATGGCCATGGCCATGGCCATCGGGGTATAGGCTCTGTTGCTTCAAAAAATCAGATATAACTGCCACCATCCTCACCACAGTGTGCTTTTCCCCAGGTATCTTTTTATTTGTAACACTAACTTCCAATTTGAAGTTCGGTGACAGTACTTTCCCTGCCTGCAAGCACTAAGTTCATATATCCAAACCCTGACTATAAGGGAAGGCAAAAAAGCAATTTTTTGACTTCTATACTGATAGGCAATGATTTATAAGGTAGTAAATTTCTCAACTACAGAAGAATGTCCAAAGGTAGCCTAAAAGAATAACAGATGTTCACTTAGTGAGGTGCTTTTCTAGTAATAATTAGGGCTAAAGTCTTAATTAGTCTGCATAAAAGCAAGGAAATCATAGGGTCAGACACCTATAATGATCACAGGTAAGTGAACTTACTTCAAAGCAATCAAGAAACTAGGAAGGGATAACCAATATCAAGACACAAATCCACTCACAGTCTTCAAAATACAGGGTATGCCTTTATTTTTATAAATGCATTCTTCAAACTATTTTAAAAATAACAGGAACTGACTCTCAAAAGCAATTCTGCAGTGAATCTTCATATAAAGCATTATTCCTTAATGTGTTTCATAAACCCTGGTTGACTATATTGGTTTACTCAAAGTAGGACACAAGTAGTGTCCTACTAAACAGAAAGAGATACTGGTTATTAATGATGCAAGGAATATCTGGTGAAGGATAATGTATCTGTGGTTGAAACCTATGACCTGGTTATATTAGAAGTCATATGAGGCCCCTCTGGCAAAGTGCAGAGGGTTACAGAGGGCCAAGGAAATCTAATTTTTGAAAAAGGGAACAAGGTTATGGAAACTGAGAAGGGACAAATTAACTCCTAATTTACTGAACTATCAACAAGGAGGTCATGTCAACATTCCTGAACCCTACTCATAAAACAATACTAGGCTAAGAAGGACAATTAACACAGTCCTTACCCTTAAGAAACACACAGTCCAGTGTGGAAGTCTGATCTGCAGACAAAAATAATAAATGAAGAAAGATCAAATAGCAATGAAAAGAGATCAAAGAGGTATTCTGGGTTAAGAAGGAGAAAGCAATTAATTCTGGAATAAATTGAGTAAGCAAGAAGGAGAAGGTGGCATCTGAGCTGGGTTATAAATATTGCTATGGCCTGAATATTTGTGTCCTCCCAAAATTCATAAGGAGATTTCTAGTTTTGGAGGTGATGGTATTAGGAAGTGGGGCCTTGAGGAGGTGATTAGGTCATAAGGTGGAGTCCTTATGAATGGGATTAGAGCTTATATAAGAGGCAGGAAAAAGCTCCCTCACCAGCTTCTGCCACCCGAGGACACACTTACCTAATCCCATTTAGGACCTACAAAGTATGCCCTCATGCGACAACAAATCTGCTAGCGCCTTGATCTTGAACTTCCCATTCTCCAGAACTGGGAGAAATAAATTTGCTGTTTATAAGCCACCCCGTGTATGATTCCCCCCATCCTCACCACAGAGCACAAAAGACTAAGACAAACAGAAAACCTAAGAACAGAAGGCTAATGGCTAAGGAGAGTAAGGATAGGCTTAACATCTTTTGAAGAGAGAGACTGATTCCAGTCACAGGCCCTCAGATGCTCTATTAGAGTTATATTTTCCAAATGATGGGCAATATTCCCCTACAGAAAACCTTTTTGTTTCTTGGGTTTAAAAATATTATCCACTTTCCACCAGGACTGGCATAAAGGAATAAATGGAAGCCCAAAGAGGGAAATCTGACCACCAACAGGTTTTCAGCCAGTAATAGTTGTATGGCCTTGGGCAATATACTACCGTGTTTCCCCCAAAATAAGACATCCTTCGAAAATAAGACCTAGTACATAGAAAGATAAGACATCCCCTGAATATAAGACCTAGCGCATCTTTGGGAGCAAAAATTAATATAAGACACTGTCTTATTTTCGGGGAAACAGGGTAGCACTTTCTGAGTGAGCACTATTCAACACATACATCATGGGAGCAAGGTACAAAGAGAGCCACTGTAGTTTACATCTTCTACCAAACACATAAAAAAGATAAAGAAACATGTGGAATTAAGTTTATGAATTTATTTGTCTTAAAATATCACTTCAATAGGTAATAGATAGAAGTTTTAAAAATCCAGTGAGCCTTTTATTTACCTCAGGGTACATTTCAATTCAATCTAGCCATATTTCAAGGTACTTTTTTATAAACATATTTTTCCTAAATATATTTTTATGGATTACAGAGAGGAAGAGATAGAAACATCAATGATGAGAGAAAACCATTGGTCCGATGTCTCTTGCATGTCCCATACTGGAGATTCAGTCTGAAACCCAGGAATATGCCTTTGACCAGGAATCAAACCCGAGACTCTTGGGTCCTCACTGAACAAACCCATCAGGTTCTCTTTAGCCACATGTGGTTGGTGGGTATACCTTGGTTTCCTTATCTGTGAAATGAGGATAAAATTGCCTAGGTCATTGGAAGGAACAGGAGATTTCTATTCCTGGGAAACCCCTGCATCCTACGCTGTCCTTGGGAAGTCCCCAATTAATCTTGTTTCCCAAGGTCTTTTCCCTCAGGGCCCCGCCCTTTCAAGTCTCCGCCCCTTTCCAAGCCTCTTAGGGCCCAGGGAGGACGCAGCCTGGCTATAAATGCTGTGGGCTTCAAGGCAGCAAAGTCTTCAACCACAGTGTGGCTGGCTCCTGTCTCTCGCACCCTTCACCTCCTTGGCTCTGAATCCCCTACTCTGGACTTGGGCAGTGTGTCTGCAGCGCTGCTGAAAGGGCCAAGGCTTGGTTGTGAGTGGAGGCAAGAAGTCAGAGCTATCCTTGTGAGCTGCGCCTGGAAACATGGATGTGGGAGAAGTGCTCAGCTACCAGCCCAACAGGGGCACCAAACGCCCCTGTGATGGGCAAGAGGAAGAGCTGAAAAGGCCCAAGAAACTAGCTGGTGCTGGAGGACTCGACCGCTTTCGGGAAGAGGGAATGACGGTGGGAAAAGCAGCAGATGATGACCGGAAGATGCTGCTTCAGATTGTGGACAACGAAGGTGAGGGGAAAGAGGAAGAGGAGGAACCACTGGATGCCAGCTCCGTGAAGAGAATGATCCTGACCTTTGAGAAGAGATCCTACAGGAACCAAGAGCTGCGGGTCAAGTTTCCAGACCAGCCCGAGAAGTTCATGGAATCCGAGCTGGACCTCGATGACATCCTCCAGGAAATGCACGTGGTGGCCACCAGGCCGGACCTGTACCCGCTCCTGGTGGAGCTGAACGCCGTCCCGTCTCTCCTGGGGCTGCTGGGACACGACAACACAGACGTGGCCATCACCGTGGTGCACCTGCTGGAGGAGCTGACAGATGTGGAGACGGTCCACGAGGGTGAGGAGTGGGGAGCGGAGGTGCTGGTCCAGGCGCTGGCGGACGGGCACGTGGTGGCGCTGCTGGTGCACCACCTGGAGCGCCTGCGGGAGGCGGTGGCGGAGGAGGCGCAGGGCGTGCACGACGCCCTGGCCCTGGTGGAGAACATGGCCGAGTTCCGGCCCCAGGTGTGTGCGGAGGCCGCCCAGCAGGGCCTCCTGCGCTGGCTGCTGAACAGGCTGAAGGCCAAGATGCCCTTCGACGCCAACAAGCTGTACTGCAGCGAGGTGCTGGCCATCCTGCTGCAGGACAGCGATGCCAACAGGGCCTTGCTGGGGAAGCTGGGCGGGATGGATGTGCTCTTGCGGCAGTTATCCGTGTTCAAGAGAAGGGATCCCGGCACCGCGGAGGAGCGGGAGATGATGGAGAACCTGTTTGACTCGCTCTGCTCCTGCCTGCTGCTCAGTGCCAACCGCGAGCGCTTCCTGCAGGGCGAGGGCGTTCAGCTGATGAGCCTCATGCTCAGGGCCAAGCGGGTGTCGAGGAGCAGCGCCCTCAAGGTGCTGGACCACGCCATGCTCGGGCCCGAGGGCGCAGGCAGTTGTGATATGTTTGTGGACATCCTGGGTTTAAGGACCCTCTTTCCCCTCTTCATGAAATCTCCCAGGAAGATCAAGAAGGCGGGGAGCACCGAGAAGGAGCACGAAGAGCACGTCTGCTCCATCCTGGCTTCCCTCCTGCGCAACCTGACAGGCCAGCGGTGAGCCCGGCTGCTGGGGAAATTCGCCGAAAACGACAGCGAGAAGGTGGACAGACTGATGGAGCTGCATTTCAAATATCTGGATGCCGTGCAGGAGGCCGACAAGAAGATGGACGCGGGGAAGCAGCACAGGGTCCTGCGAGGGGAGGTCCTGGTCAGCGACTCTGAGGAAGAGCTCTACCTGCGGCGCCTGGACGCGGGGCTCTTTGTCCTGCAGCACATCTGCTACGTCATGGCGGAGATCTGCAATGCCGAGGCCCCCCAGATTCGGCAGAGGGTTCACCAGACCTTAAACATGAGAGGGAGCTCCATCGACGTGGTGAGGGACATCGTCAAGGAGTATGCTGAGAGCATCGGGGATGGCCGCAGCCCGGAGTTCAAGGAGAGCGAGCAGCAGCGCATCCTGAGCCTGCTGGTCACCCTCTAGAGCCCGCCCTGGGCGGCACCACACTCTCAGGGCCTTCTGCCAGGGCCTGCCTGGCAGGTTGAACCGGGCTGAGGTAGGGAGGTGGGAATTGAGAAAAGAAAGACAGAAGAGCGGGGTCGGGAGGACTACCAGTCATCGAAGAACTGTAGCAAGTTTATTCACTGCGCAATGCTTCTTATACACAAGCACTGAATAGGAGGTCTGTCAAGAGGAGTGTATTTCTTTGTTCCTCTTAATCTCTAAAGGAGAAATAGAGCCGAAGGACAAATTCTTAGTACAATAACTCTTCAGTAGGTAAATATGGACTTCTTGGCAAGCCATGAAAGGTTGCTCTCATTCTACTGATAATCGCCATCCAAACAAGTCAGGGAAACTGTTTGGGTAGGGGGCCAGCCCTGCTAGCCCCCTCAGATGCAAGGACCTTGTCAGTTTACATCCTGTCACCAACAGCCTTCCTCCCAGATTCTGCTCCGCTCAACGTGACAAATGGAACTAGTGTTTTGTTTTGGTTTGTAAATAGTACCAAAGAGTATAAAACATTTTATTGCTATTATCTGTACCTGTTTAGATGTAGATCATTAGATTGTTATAATTAAAGGGTCTGGGCTTGGCAACACACATATTAAAAAGCCTAAGGTTTATCTTCCTGTAGAACAAAAATACCAAAAATAAAATATATTTAAAAAAATAAAACTTTTGAGTATCGTCTGTGTTCTTAGCATGAAGTTCCGTTTCCTTATCATGGCCCTCAAGACTTTTTGAGAAAACTTCCTCTGTCAGGCTCTGTAGGTGAGCAGGGTATATATGACTCCAGCTCTCATGGACTCTCAGCCATTAAATACAAATTACAAAAGCAGACACATGCAGTAGAGGAGGTGCTAAGAAAGGGAATAATGAGGAGGGGCTGCTTACTCAGACTGAAGGTGAGTTGAGTGACTTTAACAAAGTGACATTGGAGACCTGAAGAATGATAAAGAATTGGATGAGGAGTGGGGCTGGTGGCCTGACAGAAAAGTGAGGATTGGGCACTGGGAGGAATAAATATATCTTTAAAAAGTTTTCTTTAAAAAAAATTTAAATATATTTTTATGGATTACAGACAGGAAGAGATAGAAACATTAATGATGAGAGAAAACCATTGATCCAATGTCTGCTGCATGTCCCATACTGGGGATTGAGCCCACAACCCAGGAATGTGCCTTTGACCAGGAATCTAATCGGAGACACTTGGGCTTATGAACCATCTTTTCTCTCTTTTTGAAATCTCTTGATTACCCTACCAGTCGCCCCATAAATCAGCCCTGATTGCCATTCAGTCTGGGGACCCTACCTGTGCTCGAATTTCATGCACCAGGTTTCTAATACACATCTAAATCAATATTTAAATGCCGCTAGCCTGGTTCCTGGCCATTAAGTGTGTGCTGATTAAATGAGGAACAAGGGTACAGCTCTTCCATAAACAAGCCATGGGAGAAGAGGCTAAAGTTCAGCCAGCAGAGAGGAGTGGGAGCCACACTAAGAATAAAGATGTTGGCACCACTGTGTTTATTAAAATACATTTCATTTTCAAAATTGAGCTATCAGCTGTCAAAGTATATATACATATATTTCTTTGATGCTGGGGAAAAGAGGAAATTTCATATTTCCCTGGCCCCAGAGCCTCTCTTAGCCAGGGACATTGGGACTTTGGGGCTGTTATGCCCAGTTTCCGACATAGTCTCTGCTTCCCGGGTTGTCTCATCTGCAACTTTTCCCTGTCAGGATTTCCTATTCATGTATCAGCTGTGTGGCCCAATTGCGATTTCTTCTTTTCATTCTCTAGTTTTTCGTTGTTTATTCAGGTTTATTCATCTGCTCCTCTTTGAATTTGTTATCTAAATATATATCTGCTGAGCATGAATTATTTTTACTTCTTTTCCTTCTAGTTCCCCAGCCAATTTTGAAAGCTGCCTCTCTAAACAGTCAATTTATAAGTGGGTGATTCGGAACATCTTTAAGCACAGCTCAATCTCATTATTTTTATAAACCCCCCTCCTTCCTTTCTGCTCTCCTCCCAAGAAACACCAACTTCATAAAAATCATGTGCTGTGTGAGGGACGTGGAGACATAACGAAGCAAATCCTGGGAAATGTGGTTGGTAGAACTATCCCTGGGAGCAGATGGCGGTTCTGAAGCAAAGGCTGCTGGCACCAGGGATGTGTCTTGAGACAGGCAGTGCCCACCCTTGAGGGGAAAAAATGCAGGGAAACAGTGATGTGACAGCAGCACCTTTGGGAGAGACATTTGAAGTTTGGGGACAATGAGGCCATGGGGACCACATGTAGTAGCACAGCTGCTTTGGTCACACACCATTTACATTGGGTGCTCTAAAAGGACAGATAGCTGAAACCGGTTTGGCTCAGTGGATAGAGCACCCGCCTGCGGACTGAAAGGTTCCAGGTTCGATTCAGGTCAAGGGCATGTACCTTGGTTGCAGGCACATCCCAAGTAGGGGGCGTGCAGGAGGCAGCTGATTGATAATTCTCTCTCATCAATGTTTCTAACTCTCTATCCCTTTCTTTTACACTCTGTAAAAAATCAATAAAATATATTTAAAAAATAAAATAAAATGAAAGGACAGATAGCTCTGCCTCTCGGGGCAGCACCATCTCTCAGAGTATCTATAAACTTAGAGTAGGCTGCAGAGGTGGCCTCATCCTAGCTTAAGTTAGCTCTCAACCCATCTGTTACCATTTATCTGGGTCAGCGATACTTAAGAATTTAACAAGTTAGAAGAAAAATAGTCTAGCTTGATTTGGGTTGCTTTTTCTTTTTCCTTTTAGAGAATCATCTGTAACCCACCTACATTACATGTGTCCACTCCTGGATAAGGGTCTATGGTCATCTATTCAAGTTTAAGAATTCACATTCTTGTGGATATAAAATGGTTGTTTAAAAACCTAATTGTTCATAAATAAAAAAATAACAAAATAAAAAATACACCAAAAAAACTTCTGAAGCAAGCACTGGGGAAACTAAAGATACAATATTTTCCAGAGGAAAACATTTGGATCTAAAATAAGGAGCCAGGAAGAACAAACCAGTGAAGGGAAGAGGAAAATCTCTCAGAGAGCCACCCACACAGTGAACAGTGAACAGGCCTTGGCTGTGGGTCTAGCGCTGATAACTAGCAATTCATGCATGTCTGTATGAGAACACAGGGTTCTCTCACAACAGTGAGGTTAATCAGCCTCTCTACTTGATCTGAGTTGGAAGGAGACTTGTTGAACTGGGTGTAAAACTGCCCAAACTATGTACATGTATCAACTAACAATAAAAAATTTACTTCCCAAAAGAAGCAGAATTTAAAATCCTGGCTTTGGCTTTTTTGTTTTGTTTGTTTGTTTATCTGTTTGTTTAGTAATAGTGTTTGTTTATCTGTTTGTTTAGTAATAGGGGAGGGGAAGAGAAAAGGGAACAGGGTAGAGGGAGAAAAAAGGGAGAAAGAAACAGTTCTGGCATTACATCCCAGATCTATGATCGAGCAAAGTTCCTAACCTTCCCTGAATCCCAGTTTCTTCATCTTTAAAGAAAGTAAAATAAGGCCTATGAGGATCAAGTGTGAGAGGATATTTGTAAAACATCTGGCATATGGAATAAGGGCAATGGAGGAATAATGATGATCATGATGACTAATGACAGCAGCAACATTGATGGAAGGAAAGAGGGCAAGAAAGAAGGTGAAGGAGGAAGGGGGAGAAAAATAAATCAACCAAATCTAACTTTTTAGAAAGAGGGGGAATAACAATCTCTATAAAAGTAAGTCAAAGTCATCTACAGAGAAAGGGCAACATAGAAAGACAGGTTTCTTTGTAATTCAATTTTCTTCTAGATAACAGAAAGAAACTTTTTAAATGCCCAAACAAGATTGAAAGATACTGCTTCTAGCTCTTGAGAATTCCACAAAATGTAGGCTTGTTTACTTTTTAATAGGAAGTTTATCCAATTTAAGGATTGTCAGAAGCCTTGGGTTTAATTCAATTTCAAAAATACTTAATGAGGTCACACTAAGTCTCAGTTCTTGTACTAAGTGCTAGGCATCAAAAATTATATAGATGGGAAAAAGATATTTGTGACTTGGACAGGAAAAAAAAACAAATTGATAGAGCACGGAAGAGAGTGCCAACTGGTGATGCCACAAAATCACTATCAGAAATCACAGTTGGAGCACAGATCAGACAGTACTGAACTGTCTGGTGGATATGGGACTCTTCACTAAAAAAGTAATATTTGCACTGAGTCTGGAACATTTATTGATTAGTAGTGGGCAAAGCAAACAATAGAGGGAAACCCACCAGGCAGAGAGAACAGAATGACCAAGACCACAAAGTGGGTATTGATCAGATCTGTATTTTAGGATGATAAACCTGGGGCTGATGTGGAGAATGAACTGAGTTGGGTTTCTAGGAGGAAGCAAGTCAGTTAATAGCACCTGCAATATTTCAGGTGAGAGACAAAGGGACCAAACTAAGTCAGAGATAGGAGATGCTGGCTAAATCCAAACAAAAAATTATCTTTAAGAAAGTATCATATCACCCAAAGAATGGCATGATTCTCCAAATTATTGGCCATGTAGTCATCAAATCCATGAGCTAAACTGGGCACAAAGCTTGCTTTTATAATTTTCTCCATCTCTCTCTCTCTCTCTTTATTTATTTTTATTGATTATGGTATCACATAATTGTCCTCATCCCCCCAATCCTATCCCAAAACCCTCCCTACATATGCCCTCACCCCCCTGTTGTCCATGGCCACTGGCTAGGCCCATATGCATGCATATAAGTCCTTTGGTTGATCTCTTCCCCTTACCCCCAACCTCCCCTACTTTCCCTCAGAGGTTTGAGAATCTGATTCTGCTTCTCTTTCTCTGGGTTTGTTTTTGTTCATCAGTTTATATTGTTCATTATTTCCTCTAGATGTGTGAGATCATGTGATCCAAGAAATACCCTTGTAAGAACCTA